ATCTGCACATGGAGGTTCACAAAGTGCTGCGCCTGCCACGAAATCTGCACATGGAGGTTCACAAAGTGCTGCGCCTGCCACGAAATCTGCACTTCAAGAGACAAGTGAAAACCTAATCACAATGGACGGCCGACCGAGCATGACCCGAGACCGTCTCGCAACAGTCGTTCCGCAGAGCTAGACTTGCCAGGTTCGAAGCCACCGGTGCTATTGAAAAATAAATACAGTATTTCGCGCGTCCGCTATCTCTCGAAAACGCATTTTGCATTGCACCTGCCACGAAATCTGCACATTAGGTTCACAAATTGCTGCACCTGCCACGAAATCTGATGAGTGGTGTATGATGAGTGGTGGTTTGACGAGTGGTGATGAGTGGTGTATGATGAGTGATGTAAATGTTCGTAACACGGAAGTTCCTTCTAAACTTCCTTTGAACAAGTGCCTTACTAGTAGTAACAAGAAGCTTATATTAGAATTAAGTTTAATCTAATTACAATTTTTGTTTAACAAAAGTAAAAAATAAAAGCTCACAGCGAATCCGTCTCTCGTGGATCCGGGGCTCAGGATTTCACTGGCCGTAGAGTCGCTGAGCTGAACGAACTTTGGGTGAAGAACCTCCTTGTGTTTTGCTCAATTTGATACTCTCCCAAGTCTGTGGCAGTTTTGGAATTGGGAGAAACCAAGCTGTTGGGATTTGAAGAAAGAGAAGTCGCAGAAGTTGCGTTCTGGTGTGTCTCAGCTTGGTTGCAAGTCAGGCCGGTGGATTTTGGGGTCTCCTCCGTGAACATTGTTTTCCACGACGCCAAGACCATGAACATCATGAATTGGATCAGCACCAAGAGTGCGTCAGCAGTGCAAGGCTTCATTCAACACCACTTGAATTCTTGGCACCATGCAGAGCGCTCGACTGATATTTGCAAACGCGTTAAGTTCCGAGCGCCTGGAACGCGCTCCGCCTTTGTGGCTCAGATGTCCATGGGGGAGATTGAGGGCGAGCCAGGTGAGGGCGATCCCCGCAAGATGCGACTCGACCTGAAGGGCGTGGTGTTTCGCTAGCTGGACTCCACTTGTTTGAGACCACACTCCGCTGCAGTTCAGGAAACAGAAAAGAGCGCTAAGTGCGCTGAGCAGTCGCGTGCGCGCGCTGGCTGTGATGGCGTGTGGCGGACATCGATCCAAATCCTGACTGCGACCACTAGCTGGATGGGTGCATTCATGGGGCAGTTTTATACAGAAAGGAGGCTACAGGTGATCCTGCCTGGATTGAACTAGGGTGGACCCCCTTAGATGCGTCAGAAAAGGGACGAACATCCAGTGGCTTGGAGGTCTATTCTGATACCAAGCCACTGTGCCTGAACTGATGGGCAAGATGTTGCCTGTGATCCTCAGGTCGCAGCGTTTTTGCGCGACGTGCCCAGTTGGCGCATGGCAGACGGTGATTTGGCTTCGGGTGATGGGAAACGAGAAAGGGGGTGTTCGGTTCCGGAAAGCACGGGCGTTCTTCAGTTCCTCCATCCCCAGTGCTTTGGGAAGGTTGTTTGAAGTGACCCTCCCAAGGGTCAATGGCAACGATCCAACCTCGAACTTCAGAAGGTGGCGCCAGATACTTCTCTTGAATCACATAGTCGTAATTAGATGTAATTAGTATAAATATAATACAAGGACTTTGTTTTGTAACTATGCTTCTTTCGAAGGAAGTCCTCTGGCCCCTTATGGGGTGATACTTGCAAGTACTTAGACTTGTTTGTGTAATGTTGCTGGCAAATGCAACATCCTCTCAAATCAACTAAATGCCGTTGAAACCCGGACCCTTTGACATCAGATGGAGAGCTTTGTAGTGCCACATGTGGCAAAAGTATCCAACTCACTGCAGGCTTCCGTCGCGTAGGACTCTACTCCGAGGACAGGAAGCGCTACCTCAGCGCAGGGCGCTCAACGCTGGGCGCTGTACACGAATGAGTGAATGAGTAGCATGAATGTTTTTGGAAGTTGGGATTCCAAAGATTTTGAACGCAGGAATTCGCCATCGCAGGAATTCGCTGCAGACAGGACGTCACCTCAGGCGGCGCCATAGAAGAAGGGCTTCAGTTATTGGGTGGGTTTCTTTCTTGTGAGATACTCTAATAGTATCAAGTCTGCCACTTGGTGATGCTTCAAGAAAGTTGTCGGCTTTGCGTGAAGCAAAAGGGATCTGCCACGGCACACGGACATTTATAGGGTGGTGTTTGATGGTGTTTGTTTCCTTTCCCTCTCGGTGCAAGTGCTGTAGGAGGCGGGCAGGGTGGGCAGCTGTCCCTTTCATATTTCACTTTCCCTCCTGGCAGACTTCTTCCCTTTTTGCACACCTGAATCTGTGCTGCGGCATGGAAGCTCGGCTTTTAGCTTCAGTGGCACGATCTCGTCGGGCGGATGGCCCGGACAGGGGGTGCAGATGAACGCTCCAGGAAGAGAAGGAAGAGCCAAAGCGGCAAAAAAGCTTCAGACTGATTGTTTGCCGGAATCGGGTCTCCAATGGTCTCCATGAGTCAAAGGCGCTGGACGTTTCCGGCGCAGGTTTGGCAACCCAAACCATCACAGATGATGCATGTTGTCACAACCCATCCAAAATCCCTGGAAGATCGTGTAGATAGTGTTTTTTCTTTTAACTACCAGTCTACCAGTATTTTTCTCTACACTCAGCACAAAAAAACTTAGACGCATCTGATCTCGTGTGTTTCTTTTCGTGCGTGATATGACTCACACATCCACGGCCACGTGGGGGCAGGCCATGATGCTTTGGCACCTCCAACAGCAGCTCTTTGCCAATGAGGCCACCGAACAGCGCGGCTCCGAACTCACGCATATCGTGCCATGAAATGTGCAAATTTTATTCCCACGGGTGTTTTTAAAATGGGGTGGGAGAATTGAGGTCTGATCACTTCTGTTTGATGGTCCGTGGTTGAAACCTCCAATTGAAACCCAGAATCTCTTGACTTGAGCCCGGCCGCTCCTCTAGAGTCTGTGTTGGGTATATTATAAGAAAATTGTGTTGAATCTCCAGAAAGACCCGACAACTTGGCGACCTGTAACTAATTAGTATAGTCATTGATCATACCAATCTCAGTGAGTGGGCTGGAAATGGCAGTCCGGAATGGCCACCCAATAGTGACTTCTTACTGGTTGTTTTTTTGGCTTTGAACGGCCATTCTTCATCCGTTTTCCTTCCTTTCACCTTGGTTTGTTCAGCAGAAATCCTACCTGAACAATTTCCGCCACGGTGCCATTCACTGCGCATGCATGCACACGCCGAAGAGCGCCAGTTGGGGGATCCATTGCAGATCTCAGTGATGATGAAGGAGCCTGTGCACCAAGGGTGCCATGGGTGGAGAACGGTGAACATTGGGAAAATAAGTGCATGTTTCATTTTTTTTGAAATAGCTGAGTTGGATATGTTTTGGAAGTACTCTCGGGGGTGCAGCATTGAGGCTTTGATCTTGCGGATTGTTTTGGGGTAGTTGCTCTTTGGATGTTTGTTCAATTCTTGAATGTGTTGCAGAGCTTTTAAAGGCGTTTGGGGAATGTTGCTGGCCAATCTTGGGGCTGGTAGAGGTTAGACGGCCATTAATGTCCATCCAGCCGTCCACTTGTTCGATGTGTGACTACTTTGTTGAGATTGAATTGGTTTCCAGAATGTATGGAGCCATATCTCATAATCCTGTTTGTTAGCCGGTGTACTGCTTGGATGCTGAAATAGGATGTTTGCTTCCCTCGAAGAGAACGGGGGGGCCCTCCGGTGGCGTGGCATGCGCCTCAGGAGTCGCAGGTGAAGACGCTAGCAGGGAAACATGAGGCCGCGGCCCACGGCACGCGCAGCGTTGTTTTCGCGCAGCGCGTGACAAGTGCAGCGTCATTTGGCGAACTCGACAAAACGAAGTGGTTTGAGCGGCTCACACATTTGCCAGGAGAAAATGAATACAGGGCCAACACGCGAGTGATCTTTCCTGCCTCCCTTTTTTGGTTCAATGCCATGTTTAAACTGGCTTTTTGTGTGGCAGGTCTTGGTGGTCGCCAATGTCTTGGCATCGAAAGTGGAGGCCTTCCGCGTGGGAGAGCCCAGTTTCGGTGGAGAGTTCTCCGGTCACTTTTCCTCCCCCGCCTTCTTGCAAAGCCCAACTTTCAAAGTTACAAATCCCCGGCGTTCCATCGTGAGCTCCGATGTTCAGTTCCCCCCAGCTCATCCAACTGGGGGTTCCCTCCAGTGGAGTGGGTAGTTGAACTGGAATAGACCAAGCAGTTGAGTTTGTTCTTGGTTTCAGAGATGTTTTCGGTTTCGAAGTCTGATATCGATTGATATGGGTGTTTCGAAGTGTTGTTTCATTATGGATGTGTACTGGAACAGGTTTAATAGACCAATTATTATTGGTTCGAGGGTCTCCCTATTCTATATAGTGAATTCACAGCTGCTTTACATTGACAACCATTGACATGTTGTTTTAATCACAATGACCAAGCAAAGATGTTAGTTAATATAGTTAAATCAGAAAACAAAACAATCACAATATAATGTTGTGAAGTCAAATAATAGATGTGATTCACAATACATAGATCTTCATTCTGTGAATTCCCATTAGTTCACTGCCTAAGTGATGCACCGGAACACATGTGTTGAACGCTTCGAGGCTGCTGTCCAGCAGTTGATCTGGCGGAGGGAGGTGCCAGCAGAGGTATTGAGACTCACTGAGTGGTGCGGAGGAAGGTCGACAATTCTTGAATGCCAAGTTGCCAAATTAAATGGCGGTGATGGATGATTAACCGAACTTCTTTTGTTCCCCTTCTCCCTTTCACCCTCTCCCTCTCTCTCCATTAGGTTGGAGGTCATCGCTATTAGGTTGGAGGCCATTGCTATTAGGCTCTCTCTCTCTCTCTTTCCTTTTGTCTCTTTGTGAAGTTACGAATACTGGACCGATAAGCTGAATAGGATGTGGTCGTGGGAGTATGGTGTTCACACTCGTCTTCGCATAACCTAATCACATGGTGTAGATGAGTGAATGATATTTGTGGAGTTCTGTTTGCATCCACTTGTTTTCCGCCAGTTTGGCACCAGTTGCTGAATGGTGCTCTCATGTGCCATCCCAATCATTGGTGCAAATCAACGAAACGCGTCAGTTCAGCCGTTGTTTGCCGGACAAAGACATCGTTGTCTCACCGAGCGCCTTCGCACCGACGAGTCTGTCAGGTGCCCAACGAGGTCTTCGTGGTTCCGGAAAGCTTTGCCAGCTCCAAGTGCCTCGGCGGTGGACGATCCGGACACCGGAGAAGGATTTGGAGGTGCAGGCTGGCCGCTGCAAGTTGACTGATGGCTTGGAAAAGACGAATTACAACCACCAAAGTCCCGTTTCCTGACCCCTGTGGATTCCTGATGCAAATATAGCCAAACAAATCCACGGCATGTTTTAAGAACACATGTTACTATGGATCATTGAAACTTTAGGATCCCGTAGGATCTCTATCTTACAACCACACACAGACCCCCCATCCCCTGAATAACCGTCGGTGAAGAGTGAAACCGTGAAACCCCAACGTAGCTGCATCGATTGATGTGTTTTTGTCCCCACATCTGTTTCGTCCACTCAGGAAGGCCATCCGCAAGCAGCGGCAAGCGCGGCAGCGCGCGCGAGTGCTCTTCGTGGCAATGACGCAGGTGGCCTCGAGGGCCTCTTTTTGTGTGAAAAGCTTCAGGAAAACCTGTTCAGATGGACCCAATGGCAGGTAGCTCACCGACACTGAAGTGACGAAAAACGAATCCCTTGAGGGCGTAAAGGCGGCAAGCATTCAAACGAAGAAGCTGGGCGAGTTTCAAACCTTCGTGTTTACAGCCCAAGGCTTGCAATGGAAAAGTCATGACAAGTCATTCGTACTGACTCCATGACTCGGGGATTTACTCGCTTCAAACCGCCCGATTCGTCAGGATGCTCCCGACTCTGCGGTGCCGTTGGGCCAGGCGACTTCAGAGACGGGTTCCAAAGGGCGTGAGTCGAGTCGAGTCGATCAGTGGGAGTGGGCGGGACCTCCGTGGGGGAGGCCCATGGCGAGGTTTCACATGCGTGCTCCCCAAGCACTTTGAGATGATCACAATGTTTGGGTTGGAACCACCGGTCGCAGTGACCACGTCTAGTAGGTTGCGATTTTGTAGCATTTGGGTACCAAGATATGTCCCCATGTAGATCACCTCACGAGGTTTGGTTGTGGGGTGAGCAACTGGAGGGTGAGTACCTACCTCTTGAGCACTTGGAGGTTTGAGGTCATCGTCATCTCCAAACATCCACCTACTTTATGACCTTTCTGGGACTACTTAGCCACCTTTCGACAGAGTCTCCAGTTGGCTGACCTTGAAGTCTACACAACATCCAAATTTGCAGGTTGGAGGCCATTGCTATTAGCAAGGACGCTATTAGGGGCTCCTGGCATCGCTACGAACGGAGCAATGTTCGCTACTATAGGGGCTCCTGGCCTTACTACGAGCAAGGACCGCTACGAACGTCGCAAGGACCGCTATGCTCGGTGGAACCTTGGTGACGGTCGCGACACAAAACATCGGCCAGGTGGCGGTCTTTGTGACGGGGAAGCTTCAGTTGGCCCGGCTTTCTTTGGAGCCCCGGACATGGCCATCCTGGTGTTCTTGCCGGGGAAACAATGCATCACATATACCCGGATCTTCATGCGGCACTGTTTTTGCCGGCATTTTTCAAGACACCGTTTGAGGGGTTTCAAACATGTGTTCAAATCGGACAGGACAGATGCCGTTTGGACGCCGTCAATGTCACGCTGGTTCTTTTGGTTTCTCACCTCGCGCCTCCGCGTGCTTGTCACAGCGAACAATGTCACGCTGTCAGGGCTGTGTTTCGTTTGTTCGGACTGATTTTCAGAGGTCGCTTTGAAGAACCTTGTGACGTGTAAAGACTAGCGAGCTGCAAAGTGGACCATGTTCTTAAAGGTTTGGGTTCCTACAATTCCTACCTAGAACTTTTCATCATCCACTAACCTTTCTAATTATCCAATGAACCCCCCAAGATGGCATCCGATTTCTGCATGGAACATTATGAAGTGGCAGATCCCACATTGATAAGCTTCGGATTCGGTTTGGCCGTTTGCGGCCAAAGTCATGACCCTCAGACGAGGGCAACCGAAAGTCACTGTGTAGAACCTGGATGCCGTGGCCGCCAGGCCGTCCAAAGACTTGAAGAAGGCAAGTCTTCGTTGGCGCGCGCTGCTGAAACGGACGACCAATGTTGGATCGAACAGCAGCCCCAAAGGCTGCTCACAGTCCTAGGACTTGTTGCAGGAACGGTTTGGAGAACAACTGCTTTGGGCAATTAATGTTTGGCAGGAAACCTCATGTGGCACTTTGTTCATGTTGCTGGAACAACTAGTTTGTGCTGATCATCATAAGTGGCAACATGCGCGGATATGGGACGATTGAGCTCCTAGCCAACAACTTGCTGTGTGAAGAATTCTACATAATTCTACTCTTGTTTGAGAGTTTAAGAGATTCAGACACCTTTGACTACTTTCCAAGAAATCACAACAGACAGATGAGATGTGATGAGAAAAAATGCCTGGAAACATACACCATGGCAGCCTCACAAGGCTGTGCGGGATCGTATAGGTGGTTCCAACTTTTTAGCGACATGTCCACTTCTGAAGATTGGAGCAAAGTGCCAAGACTCACAACAAGGACGCTACTAGGGGCTCCTGGCCTTACTACTAGGAACAAGGACGCTACTAGGAGCAAAGGGCATCGCTACTAGGAGCAACAGCAAGGACGCTACTACTTGGCTTTTACTCAACTCCTTGCACCCATAGCAAGCCTTGTCCAATCAACCAAAAGTACCCAAATCTGGATCTTCAACACGTTGTTCTCCTCTTCTTGGGCACTGTCACCACTATATTTTGTGTGACGCTATAGGAACATACGGGTAGTATGCCAGGGTCTTCAAAGTGAAGGTTCCTTAACTTAAGCGACCAGTTTCAGGGGCTACATCATCTCAATCTGTGGCTTCAGAAGCTTACCTTGAACCTGTTGAGCAGACCAGGATTAACAGCTGGAAAGACAGATGATTTGGCTTCCGCTCTCCATGGCCTCAGGCTTTCCCGAAGTCTCCTAGTAGGTTGGAGGCCATCGCTAGTAGGTTGGAGGCCATTGCTTCTAGATTGGAGGATATTGGAGGCCATCACTAAAGAAAAGGAAGAAGGGTTTATATAATATAGTTTGCTACTAGGTTGCAGGCCGTTCGTAAGTTGGATGTTACCCGTCAGACGTCGTGTCCGCAGGATTGGGACGATGGCAGCAACATGGGCACGATCAAGGTGAGAGAATATCATAGTGGTGTGGCTCGTGGTCCCTGCGGTGATCCTGGACCCGAAATCAAGAACTTCCCGATGGGGATGGTCGTTCACGGGTTGATGCCTTTAGAACGGAACCAGGCAGCCAGGGTTCCTTTGTTCTGAAGTGGATTGATGTGTTCACCGGGCGAATGAGGTCAAACGGCATTTCTGGACCTCACGTCCAGCCCCTCAGGTTTTCCTCGGATGGGTGTCTTGGGACCGATCAGATGATGAAAAGCACCACGGCGGGTCCATTCGGGTCGTCGGGTCGGGTCTATTCGGGTTCAGCAGACCAGCAGACGGGAATGGCGTGAAGCACCTGAGATTGAGAAGGAGGTTCACCATATCTTCTCATCCCGATGTCAGGTTTTGGCCCAGCCAATGTTTGCGTCCTGCCGTTATGACCTTCAAACAGACAAGGAAACAAAGCTGGCAGCAAGTTGGGAGTCTTGCGACGAGCCAAGCCAAGTGCAGCACAAAGCCCTGAAGACTGGAAAAGACTATTTCGGCGTGATTTATTTCGCTTCCGGACATGTTTGCTGCGCAGAGCATGTGCTCAGCCAATCACGACCTGTTTGATGAGGGGCTGAAATTCTTGTGTGCTCATGTGTGCTCTAGTCCTAGTCCAGTGTATAGTTTGCAAAAGATGTCAAACTCCCCCCCTGCGATGTTTGTGACTGTTTTCTAGTGTTCTCTAATCTTCCTCGTTTGGTGTTCGTGCGTGTTCCCATGCTTCACAACCTTCAACCTTTCGCTTCGCGCATCGCAGGAAGTCGCCTTGGCCGCTGTGAATTCCCTGTCCCCTGAGGGTCGCGCCCGGCACCCCAGTGGCCCCGAGCCTCAGCTCCGCTTCTCACCGCAGACCTGAGGATCGCCGTGGCTGGTGCATTGGTTCTTCTCTTCTCACATCGAGACAATTAGAGAAACTGATTGGCTTCCAGCTCACGTGAGGAAGAGGTCATTCAGCCTTTGGATAGACGTGTTTCCCGAAAGAAGTTGGCTACAACAACCAGCAAGACACACAAAGACCCATGAGTCAGCTTGATCAGTTAGGTACACATGCAGAAAGTGATTGTCCAAATCACTGAAGAAGAGCGAAACGAGGAGCATCGAGACCCCGGAAATGATTCAATTTCAATCAAACTTCCGCATCAATGGACCAGAGAAGACCAAAAAGAAAGACAAAGAAAGAACATGTGCAAAGGAAGATTGTCTTCCAGAAGATCTCTGTGTTCGCCTTCCGTTCGTCGAAAAATCTGGAACGAGCAAATTCCTAACATCAACAGTGTGACCTGAGAGTCCAAGTCCAGACGATCCTGGGAGATCCAGTGTAGTGTTGTTCATTCCAGCCTCCCTTCACTCCAGGAGGAACACCCGAATGCAAGTGACCGTGCTTTTTTCGGCGTCGCGAGTCGATGTTGGAGCCGCTGAGCAGCGTCGCTTGCTGTCGGCGTCCCGTCTCAGGTGCGTTGACGATCAACGAAGGTGGTCCGGTCCCTTTAAGATCTTCTTCAAACCCAATACATCCTTCATGTGTTCTTTTCCCTTTCTTCAGCCTCAAGAGGCCACTGGTGAAGAGGCTATAGGTGGTGAAGAAGATGTGTTTTCAGGATCTCGGTGAAGGACTGCGCCCCGCAGTGGCCCAGCCGTCAGCGCCGTCACTTCAGGTGCCGAGCGACAAGGTCTCTGAGCTTTGAGCCCTGAGCGGGTCGACCGGCGACGTGGATGGCGGAAGCGGTGCACACAAGAGGAGCAACAAGCAGGAGGAGCAACACACGTTAGCATCACATGGTGTGCGGATGTGTCTATGATTGTTCTGATGCCAAGCGTGGCCGGCTGGGCAGTTCCCTTTTTTGAACGAATTAGCAGGGGTTAATCGGGGTTATAACATGATATGATATAACTAGAAAAGGACGATGTTTCTCAGAGAGGATTTCTGGACATTGATGAACCCTTTTGGGCTCCAACCAGCTCCTCACAAGGTCGTTAGACTATCCAAGCTCCCCCCGGGACACCTTCTTAGTTGTAACCCCATGGGCTCGCCAGCCAGTTCTTGACGGTTCTGAGGGTTGATGCAGTTGTTCAGTGATGAAACTGAGTCATTCCATGGTTTACGATGGGAATACAAGTCTGGTCTATATTCGAACTTTATCATATTTGATCTCCATTCTTTTGACATCGATCTTGGTGGAATTCCTGACTCAGCACTGTCCGCCGGCCCAGCATTCCGAGCGGCACCTGCCCGCTTCACCGAGCGCTGAAAGACCGATGTCGGCCGCGGCGACGCAAAAGAACGCATTGCGTGCGCCTGGGTTTTTCGGTGGTGCAGGGGGCATGGGGCAGCCGTTCACGTGCGCAGGCGAGGCCAACAAGATGGATGGTGAAAGTGCATCGTGTCTTTTTCTAACCGTGTATCATTGAAGAGTAGATTTGTGCATAGCAGATACCACCCATACCACCACATCAATATATAGCAGATGTCCCCAGGGCCATGGCCACCCTTTTGGTCGACTTCGGAGGTGGTTTTCGTGGACACTTTGGGGGACATACCTTTGCATGTGCGTGCAAGTTTGGATCCTTGGGTCACCAAGAGCCTCGAGCCTCGCAAGGTGTCAAATGATTAATGCGTTGATCAAGTGATCGTGTTATGGCCCAGCTGCTCCATGAAATTAACCATATGGGCGGGTTGAACACACTTGCTTCACAGCGCCTCTTCTTGCGCGAGCCCAGTGGGACAAGAATGCAGGCTGCCGCCCTTGAGTACCTCTCCATTGGGCCGGAGGAATGTTCTGAAGGAGTTGGGCAGATGAGGGATTCGACAGTGGACACATCAACCTGGTCGATGAACATCAAGACGATCGGCATCAAACTTTGCGATCGAAGATCCGGGTGTTTCTTTTGATTTCCAAAATAAAACTGGTGAGTGGCTGCGTAGGCAAGCCTGTGAACATCTTCAAGGCGCGAGCCTGTGTGCTGCAGTTGGTCCTACCATACCACCATACTGGTGTCCCAACTGTCATGTGCATTCCTTTGGCAGACGTGTCGTTCGATCTTGGGCACCTGTGCCGTTGGCAGGAGCCGCCGGTGGGCGAACGCAACCAGCTGTCTGGTGGGCACCTGAAGTGGGGAGTAGGGGGTGGGAAAAGATGTCTTTATATATGGAAATGATGGCATAGGGCATGGGGCATGGGGATGAAGTTATGGGGGATACTATGGCATGGGGCTTGGGGGGGGGGCAGATTTTAAGGTTCATGACCTCATTGCTTCCTTCTCATCGGATTTTGCCACTTTTCCCCGACGAAAGGTCGAACGTCGCCGTAGCCGTGATCGGCGCCTGATCGATGTAGCGTCCGATCGCTTCGTTCGGTTCGCGATGCCCTTTGTTACGAACTTAGCTTTCTTGTTCCTAGTAGCGATGCCAGGAGCCCCTAGTAGCATCCTTTGCTCCTAGTAGCGATGCCCTTTGTTTCTAGTTGCTTTCTTGTTCCTAGTGTACCATAACCTCCTAGATTCAGGTCTGGACCTCTCCCGGACCTCTTTGCAATTGAAGGGTGTGCGAGGGAGGTGCCGCTCACCGGCACGTCCCCCTGCCGGCCGGCGAGGTTTCAGCGACCTTTTGGCGGCTGGAGCATTCATTATTTCAAAAATAACCTTTGTTTGTAAGATCAACCTTTTGGAGGGGGGCACTTCTTGACGAAATGAGTGAATTTGGGATGACCTCGCTTGCATGAGAATTCATAGAAGAAGGGATCCAAGCGAACCCAATTGAAATGAGAAATTGATTTTTGTGGTGGGAAAAGTCAGCAAACTGCACCAACCTTGTTGCTTATTTTTCTATTTTCCTCCACTTGACCGTGGAATTGTTTGCAGGAGACTCCCCCTGGAGAAGAGCAAACACGTCCTCAGTCACACAGCTTTTCTCGAAACCAATCAATCCGAATCTGACATGTGCTTCCGCCTTCCGCTTTACAATGTTGTTCTATAATTGTTGTTGAAAACGTACAGTTGCGGAAACAGCGGATCTGGTACTCCCGTTCAAGACCCTGAGGTTGGCGGCTTTTCCCTCGCCAAAGGCACTTTTCTGGGGATGTGGGAAGCATTTGGGAAGCTAGAACATGTTGGAGCTTGGTGGGCGGGGTTGTGGCAAGTAGTTGCAAGCGACAAGATGCACATGACACCCGATGTCACACCGTGTTTGTCCTGAAGGGTATCATCTCCCACATCATACATCATCTATCATGTATAACTCAATGTCTTGTGGTTTGATGCCGACACCATCATTGAATTGCCACTGAGGACTGCACCACAATGTGACTTGCAAGATATATATATATACTTTACTTTACTTTGAGCTAGTCCCACCTGACCTGATTCTTTTGAGAGCAATGCCATGTATGTAACTTCACTGTAAGAAAATTTGGTAGCAGCACTGGCGATCCGGGTCCGGCAGAGCAACAAATGCTGCTGCTGCTGCTGCTGCTGCTACGACTATAGCCACTTGGCCCCAGACATTACACTACCACTACCACTACTATTTCTTCGAAGCAGCTTCTTCTGCTACTTCAATTTCCATTTCCGGTCAGATCCTTTGCCCCGCAACAACGCGCCAGACCTTCGTTGTGGCCGAGCTGTGTAACTTCCTCCAAGGACAGCCTGCTGCTGTACAGCGACAGACCTGGGTGACCTCAAACTCAACAAACAAACAACACACACCCAGGAGTGACAAAGGTTCTTTGAGGGGTGGTTTTTGTCTCATCCAGTGAGTGGAGTAGACACCCAGCTCCATCAGGTCCCGGATGGTGGGAAGCCAGCGTTGCTTGCATAAATTCAACCTTGACCTGGACCTCAAAAATCACATCATGCGTTACCCATTCACACTCTTTGACCTTGTTTTTGCATTGTTTCTGATGGATTTTGCATGACTTTGATTGTCCAGTGGCACAGCAGAAACACGATTGGTGAGAGCCTCCGATGTGACATGGACTGAGATCCTTTTACAAGCTAGCAGACTTATCATGTGACTTCCTTTCTCCAATCTTCACCCGAGGAGAGGACAGACTTGAGCCTGTACGAGACCATGGAAGGTGTAGCTGCGCGGTTGCTCGTGGGGCATATCGGTATGCGAGGATTTTACAGCCGATTCTCATCAGTTGGCAGCCTTGTCCCTACAGAAACTAGCAGTAGAAACAACATGTTCCCAGTAAACCCGGTTGCTTCAACTGAAAACTGCCAAGAGGCACCTGTTGGAAGGTGCTAGAGAGCAAGTCCCGCTTGGAGAGGTGACTGGTGTCATTTGGACCACTCGCTTCAAGGCATCGACCCCTGGAAGCGACAACTGAGCGTTTTTGTTGCTACTAGGCCTACTACTAGTAAGGCACTTGTTACTACTAGTAAGGCACTTGTTACTACTAGGGATGCCCTTGTCCCTAGTAGCTTCTAGCTACTAGTAGCGATGCATGTTACTGGTAGCGATGTCCTAGCTACTAGTAATAGATCCTTGTTGTTTCTCCGGAAAGCGGGTCATGTTGAGTGGGATTCCCCCGTCCCCCGTCGCCCTGCCCGGCAGGGATCTACACCGAGCTTTTGCAGGCGAGTGGTAGGTGGACAGGGGCCCCAACTCTGCGCGCTTTTCAGCAGCCCCGAAGCGAACAAGGACGCTACTAGGAGCAAAGGGCATCGCTACGAACGGAACGATCGGACGCTATGAACGGGGCTCCTGGCCTCACTACTAGTAACGATAAAGCCACTATAGTGGGGTCGAAAGGGGGGGGTGTCTAATGCACCGGAAAAGTGCAGGTCAAGGGAGGGGCCTCATCGGTTCAACGATGAGGGCATCGGGCCATTCTGAGAAGGTGTGACAGTGGATGTTTGGAGTGGCCATGTTATGAACCCAGTTTTGAGGCAAGTTGAGTGTTTCGTTCTACATGACAAATGAAGGCGTGGTGAAGCACCACCAGATCAACCGGGCTGAGACTCCGGCAAGAGCCTTGAGCAGGGCAAAGGTGTTTTACCGCTCAACCAACCCTGCGAGATTGGCCAGATGGAGGCGGAGGTTTCCTTGTTCGTCAAAAGACAGCTTTGTGGATGTCAGGCATGCCATTTGCGAAGGCTTTTCTTGATGCGGTGCACCTTGCACTTGTTGTAGCCGCAGTGGCAAGGACGATCGCAAACCGATCTTTGTGGTTGTGGAGGGCACAGTGCACAACTTGGAGCAATGTTTTGACAACGCTTCCGAGTGGCCATGTCCATTGATTGGAGGATTCAACTACCTCGCTGAGGATGTATAGTTGGATCGAATGGGAGATCTGCATCCAGGGAAGATGGTCGGTCATCCCTTCAACCATGATAAAGGCGGAGATTGACTCCACCAATGGTAGAATCATGTGTAGAATCTCATCAACTTAAACTGGCATGGATGATCCATGTCGTTCTTCCTCTTTCGTGATCGCCACAAAGGGGGAGGACGCCGGACGCCCAAAACGACCGGAGTTTCTCTAGTCCTGGGATCCACCGGTCTTCCGAGGATCGGTGGCGCCGGTCCTCACAGGTGGACCGTTGAGGTCGAAAACAATACGAGTATGTCAGGACCCTCCTGTCGGGGTGCCCTGTCTGGAAGCCTAGGCCGGTAGTGTGGGGTAGTTCATTGGACACCCCGACAGGAGGGTCCTGGTGTGTTTCATGATAGTTTCATTTATAG